AACCATATGAGTAGATCACAACCCATATATTAAATTTACTATAGATCAATATTATTTTGATACCAGTTTGGTATTTTTTGAAGCCTTAGTCTTGATATTAAGGATTCAAGAATTACATATAAATCTAAAAATAACTTGTTGATGGGTGTTCTGCAATATGTACAGTTTAGCTTTAGGGTTCAATGTATTATTGTTTTATTTTTACAAAAAGTTAATAAATACAGTGAATTTCAGTTGGATTAAAGATGAAAAAAAAAAAATAAATAAATAAATAATATTAGATATAAAAGAAAAATAATCTAATTTATAAAAAAATTATAAAAAATTATTATAATTTTTAAAAATTTTTTAATTAGAATTTATTTAAATAAAAAAATTACAAAAAAACTATATAATGATTTTTTAATTATTGTTTAATAAAATTTTTTAACAAAACTTTTTCCCACTCCTCTCTTTTATACTTGAAAATTTTTTTTTAGAAAACTTTTGAGCTGTTTACTTTTTTTACTTTTACTTTTCTCTCTCTTTTCACTTCTCTTTCCCTATATCTCTTTATTTTCCTTTTCCTATTTTCTTCTCTCTCTTCTATATATTCTTTTATTTATTTCATTCCTTTTACTCTTCTTTTCCTTTTTACTGCCAAAGTTAGGTTTTTCCTTTTTCCTGATAATTTTTTTTTTAGACTTCTCTTTCCTTTATAAACTCCGCTCTTCATAATATCACTTCTCTAGCCAGTCAGTTCTCTTTTCTCAAGACTATATCCAGAAGTGATAACTTCTCTTAAGATATGGGCTTTAGAATTTTTCTCTCTTCTATAGCTTTATAGAAAAGAACAGATGGTTTACTTCCTCTAAAAGATTGGCATGGTCATTATTACCAAATCTGATGTTGTTTACTTATTTATAATTAGACTAAATACATTTAAGAAACCAGTATATAACTATTATTATCCGAAAGTATTCAAGGAGTTGTGCCCTACTGTATCTAGAAAGATATGACAACTAATGTCAATACAGCTAACAATAAACTAGGTAAGTTTGCTGGTGTTATGCTGGTGATTGGAGAATTTAATAGAATAATATATAAAGATCAGAGATTCTAATTACTCCTGTAACATGAGCTGATAATGATAACAAAAGTTTCTTACTTACTTTTCCGATAATGTAGGCTCATTGTACAAGATTAGATATTAATATCTTTAAGAAAATACAACTTCACTATATGTTCGACATCTTTTTTAACAAACTATCACCTTACATTCAAACCTATTCTCTATACTCTCTAATTCCATTTTATCCTAAAACCAAAATATACCCTTTAAAGTTACTCTAACAGTAAAATTAATTGCCGCCTTTCAGCCTATAGTCCTAGTGATGGGTTTCAAAATAGAATGTCGATACTAGGTAAAAATAGTAAAAGATTAATATTATTAAGGGATTGCATTGGTATTAAAGATAATTGCTACCTTCCAGCTCTTAGTCCTAGCAATGGGTTCAAATGGAAGGTCAATGCTAGGTGCAAATGGTAAAAGATCTGTTTTATTTTGGTATATTTGGTATTAGTATAACTTGGAACTAACTCTTGCTCCACTTGTCATATATCAAGTTACAATTGGAAAACAAGTGTACCAATCTTAGTTATGACTTAAAGGTCAACCTGTATATAGTGACTGCAGCACCTTCATATAATTAGGTAAACAAATTCTCTAGGTAGCTAGATGCCATTCAAGGCTTAATATAGGTTTTAATTTTCCTTTTTCTATATTCTTGAGTGATACCAAAAAACTCAAGTGAATAGGCTACAATTGTGAACCTTGCATTAAACTCTTCTTAACAAAGAGAGATGTATACTGCACCATAAGGTTGTAAATATTGTATTTGCAAGTCTAAAATTTATAATAAAAATAGTGCGTGGGGACCACCTGTTCCTTCAAAAAAAAAATAATAATCTAGATATTTTTTAATTTCAAATATAATTTTAATAATAATAATAATATATTATTAATTTATAAGCTAAAATAAGAATCCAAAGATTTTTGTAACAGATTGTATATTTAATTTTTAATAAATCTAATTATCCATATAAATAATTATATATAAACCGCAGAATATTACTGCGAAATAAAATTTATTTTATGAGAGACTCTTTCTAAATGGCGAAGCAGCTGATTTTAATTGGAGAGTAGCCAATAGAAAAAATGAGATTAAACTGCGCGATTAGGCATTACTAAGCAGATCAGGCACGTCATACTGCGTAATTTTTGTGGTACATATAAAAAGGTCATGAGAGCATTTTTATTTCCATAACATACATTCTTGCGTGCGGCGGATAGTGAACAAGTGACGACTTTGTTGATCTTAAAACGATCTTGATATTTTAATCGGCATTTTCGAAAAAAACTATAAGACTTTATGTTTGGTGGTCAAAATACGTTCGGTGGCTTTGGACAACAAAGTCAACCACAATCATTATTTGGAACCCCAACACCAACACCATTTGGTATTTTCTTCTAAAAAAGATTAAGAACCAAGTCTTTAGTTTTGTGTATGCTAACATCTATTTTTTTTTTTGACTAGGCGGATTTGGACAAGGAGCATCAACTTCTACTGGTGGTGTGGGAACAGGTTTTGGTGGATTTGGGCAACCAGCAGGTTCTTCTAATTTTTCCTTTGGACAGCGTGCGTATTTTTCAGTTCTTTTTGATTATTTTTTATAATTTTACGTGTCAAAGTTAATTTTAATTACATTACTAAATGTACATTTGTTTAATCTTATTCAGAATCAACTCTTTCGGGTGGTGTGTTTGGGCAAAATGCAGCAGCCCCTTTTGGTAATACTGGTACGTTTTAGTCATTAAGTCGGTTGTGTAAAGTTATCTGTCAAAATCAAGGTGCTTCTAGACGGATATTTCTATGTTATATGTATTCAAATCCTTTTAGCTTTGATTTTTAAAACTTATGTTCAATTATTAATGTTCGAACTTAAATCGTTATTTTTTTTAGGATTGGCATCTTCGGGTATGACTCCAACTCCAACTCCTAATGGCACAATCAATCCACCATATTCATCAACGATCGATAAAGACCCGTCCGGTTCTACGAATACTTTTCATAGCATTACTGCAATGCCGCAATATAGAAACTTTTCGTTTGAGGTATGAGCTGATATTCTTTTTTATTTTCTTATATATGTATGAACTTAAATGCAATGATTTTGTAGGAGCTTCGATTATCAGATTATCAGTTAAACCGGAAACCATCACCTGGGACAGGTTATGGGGGAATAAACACACCATCATATGTAGGAACTACGAGTACTGGTGGTGGGTTTGGTAGTTTCGGCACTCAGACCCCGGGTTTTGGTGCTAAAACCACACCATCTTTTGCATTTGGTAATAATCCCACCCCTACACCAACTGTTGGGTTTGGCGCAACACCAGCTGGGCCCTCAACTCAATCTATTTTTGGTGCTCAAAAACCCGCTTTTGGTGCACCTACTGGAGGTTTCGGTAATACAACACAACCAACAGGTAGCTTCGGAACTGGGTTTGGGGGTATGATTTTTGACTTTAGCAGATTTTCCTATTCCCATTTAAAGGTATTTTAACCCAACCAATTAACCTTCCCACAGGTAGTAGTATGTTTGGTGCGACCTCTACTGGAGCACAGCCTAGCTTATTTGGAGCAAAGACACAACCGACCACATCTGCCTCTGGCTTTGGTTCAACTTTAGGAGGAGGATTTAATACATCATCTTTTGGATTTGGTATGTTAGCTTTTTACATAAAAAATTAGATGACTCAATTCTATTGGATTATTATTTACTCTTACTACAATAGGAAATAAAACTACAACTGCGGCAAGTAATTTTGGAGCCCCTTCAACAACTCCAGCTTTCGGCGGATTTGGTGGTGAGTACTAGTGTGTTATCTAAATGGACATGTTTTTTGCAAATACGAATAAGCATAATTTTCAATTTACAGCCACTAGCAATCCACCGACTTTAAACACTGGTGGATTTGGAACCTCTAAGCCTGCCTTTGGATTCAATCAAAGTAAGTGAAACTGTTATTAATTATTATATAGATTAACTATAATGTACTCACCTTTACTTTTTGCTTTTATCACTTTAACTTTCTGACAGCCTCTGGTGGTGTTGGTGCAAATTTTTTTGGAAACACAGCCACTACTACCAGTAGCATGTTTAATATTGCCCCATTAACAAATACTTCAACTACTAGTTTAAGTGGGTTTGGCGCGCTTAATAAACCTACTATTCCGACTTTAGGTGGATCTAGCCTAAATACTTTACAAACACAAACACCGAGTTTTCTTGGTGGTGCTGGGTCTACTTTGCCCTTTGGAAATACTAACACCGCAACAGCCTTTGGAAGTACCGGACAAAATCAAGGATTGCAGGCCACTGTTAACAGCACTCCCTATGGAGAAATATCTGTGTTTCAGACAACTACACCTACCGTGACTCCGAATAAACCATCCGTAGCAGCTACCCCAGTAGCAGCGAGTCCTCTCAAAAAGAAACATGTCGGAACTCCTAATTATAGGTTGACACCAAAACCAAGCTCGAAACTAAAACTTCCTGGGTTTAATTCGCCTGCTTATCCAGGTCTTGGAACACCTGATCCTAAGCCGTTACATATATTTGAATCATTGGATAAAAAAGAAATACTGAGTCCAGAGGCATTCACAAAGCGTGTTCCCAGAAAATTAGTATTAGATCGATCGGTTGAACCGGAGGAGCTAATGTCCGGTACAAATTCTCATATTGGATCTCCACAAAATGATCATACTCCTGTTAGACAAAAGGTATCGTTTGATGCAAAGCTTGAGTCGGGAGCGGATAATATTCAACATTCGTTTAGCCCTAACAGTATTAAATCTAGTAGTAGACAAGTCGAATTTTCAGATAACATAGCATCTACTCCATCAAAGACGCCATCAAAGACACATATTATTGAGGCAGGAGAATCTTCAAAAATAGAAGAAATATCTACTTCATTATCTTCTGATAATAACGGTTATTACTCTGTCCCTTCAATTAAAGATCTTCAAAATATGGAAGCAGAGGAATTAAAAGATGTTGTTGGATTTATGGTTGGAAGAACTAATTTTGGAAAAATTGAATTTCAAGAACCAGTAGATTTCACTGATATAGTTTCGCTTGAAGACGTCCCGGGAAAAGTCATTCGTTTTGAGGATCAGAGTTGTACCGTTTATGGTTCAGAGTATAATAAACCTCCACCCGGACATGGACTTAATAAAAAAGCGGTCATTACTTTGGACCGCTGTTGGGCCTTAGACAAAAGCGATCGTCGTCCAATCAAAGATCCGGAGGATTATCGTTATAGGCAACGAATGGAAAGGTTGAAAAATGTTGCTGACACTAAATACATTACTTTTCTTCCGGAGACTGGTAGTTGGGTCTTTCAAGTGGAGCATTTTACCACTTATGGTCTTATTTTTGATGACCCAGAAGACCAATACGAAGAAAAGCAGTATCAACCTTTTGAAGTTCCTTTTATTCATATGACTGAAGCTAAACCTCTACCACAATCTCGAAAAGGGAAGGAAAAGGAATATGATGATGATAAACTCAAGCCAGTTGCAAATTTTCCAGAAAGTCTTGGTCAAGACCCAGATGATATTGATGAAATGCAAAATATTTTATTTAACGATTCAAACGAAGAGGATTACATGCAAATGGATATCGCAGGGGATAGTATGATCGAAGAGTTTGATGATTCACATAAACGAAGCTTGGAAAGTTATGAAAATGATGAGTACATAAAAGATGAAAATCGTTCTTCCGTTGTGGAGGTGAGTTTAGGAAATTAAGGTGATCGGATCTTCAATAAAATTTTTCGAACTTGTTAACACTGTTGTTTATCGTTATAGTACATATTATAAGTTAGTCAATGTATAAATTTTCCTTATTATAATATTTATACTTTTATGTATACAAACTGAATTTTATTATGTAATAAATTGCCATTTGAAAATAAACTTGGATCAAATCATCTAACATACTTATCTATTGTAAGCCCCGTCAGTCATTTGTCAAGACTCCTCGCATTCCCCGTGAAGATGTAATTATCAGATTGCCAAGCAAATACCGCAAGATTGTTGATTATGCAGAATCAATTGTTTTTGGTAAAGAAGATTGTAAGGAAGATCTTGGACTTATGTTGGGTAGATCTTTCAGAGTGGGATGGGGACCCAACGGAATATTGGTTCGTTGTAGTAAGGTGTGCGGTATTTCGAATATAATGTAAGCAGTCAATCAATTATAATAATTGTTTTTGTCGTGTGGGTCTAATATTTGGTTAAATAACAAATTCTGTTCATAATTCATCAGATCTGCGTTTTCTCCTAAGAACAAGAACACGGGATTAAGTAAGAACACTGGAATGCCAACGATAATTCAGTTCAAAAAAATTAGATTGTTTGCCGATGCAGAAGTTCGTGTTGTAACTTCATCTCCACTTGTTATTAATTTATTAATGATAGTAAGATACTAACCCGGTAAATAATGTATTATCTAGGATAAAGAAAAGGTGCGGCATGATAATTCAATGAAATTTATTTTCAAAAATTCGACATTTGGGCAAGAAGATGGTATACCGCATGTTGATATTTCCGAGATCAACTTTGAGAACTTGCTAAAGTCATTTGAAAGTGGAACGATTTCCAGACACGAGACTTTAATTTGGAAGCTTGGTCAAGCTCTGTGGGATGATATTGTAATTCCAGGGTTCGATCAAAATGATTCTGAAGAATTCGATAAAATAATTGAGGAACATCGAAAAGAACGAATATCGACATGGTTTAAAGAGGCCGTTTCAATACAGGCAACGGCTCATATCAAACGTGCATTAGCTTCAG